CTTTTTTTCTTTTTCTGGGCCATTAAACAAATGGTTCTGGTCGTTAAGTGAGCCACACTGTTGTTAAGTGACTCCGGCTTCCCCTGTTGACTTTGCGTGTTGGAAGCAGGCGTGGGGGGGGGGAATCATGGGACGCTGCACCCGTTCTGGACTACACGCCGCTCTAAATGTTCATACTTACAACGGCCGTAAGTCTGAGGACTGGTCATAAACAGGGTTTTACCCCCCCTCTGAACCCGCTGTAACTTTGACCACTTGCTAAAGGAACGTCTACGGAGGAGGCTCTGTCTCCATAGAGTGAGACTGAGCGAATGTAAACAAATGGACATTAAGTCAAGGACGGCCTGCAGACCAGACACTCTGTTTGGGTACCCCAGGCCCCACGTCGGGCCTTCCTCCTCCTCCTCCTCCTCCGCAGAGGGCTGTGGCCTTCTGTTTCCCACCTCCTTGGCGTCACCGTACCAAATTCTCCCCGTCTTTAATTAAATAAAATTGGAGTTATTTTGTTGATTGTTCACAATGTGGCAATTAGGAGTAGGAAACGTGTAATTAGTACCAAATTGTGTCTGGGAGAATCCAAAGGCCCAGAGAGAGGGAGCTGGGAGGGGGTGGGGCGGACAGGGGAAGGGATTGGGGGAGGGACGAGGAGGAAGCAGCGATCCACACCTGGGACTTCATGGGAGGGGAGAGCCAAAGGGAGGAATGGATGGATGAATACAGGGGTCCCCCAACATTGGCCACTTTAAGACTTGGTGGAGTTCAACTCCCAGAATTCCCCATTCAACTATGCCTGTTTTTTTCCCCTCCTACTCCCTAGAGTGGAGAGATTGCAGAGGAAGGGATGACAAGAGAGAAAGCAGGCATACAGAGTTGAAGTCTTAGTGAAGCTGGCTGGGGAATTCTGGGAGTTGATGTCCACAAGTCTTAAAGTGGCCAAGTTTGGAAACCTCTGGATTAATGGGATGGAGAAAAATGAAGAGGAGATGGGAAGGAGGAAGGAAGAAGACGACGACACCATGGATGGAGGAGATATACACGCGCACACACACACACACACACAACAGGCCATGGACAACGCCTCTGTGAGTATCAGAAGACCATGGCTGCAAAGATTCACACACGTTTCATCCAGGATCTTCCGAAGTTCACACAAGAATCTTGTATGGTCTTCAAGACTCACCCGGACTTCCTCCGTGGTCACCCAAGATTCACTGAGGCATCACTCATGGTCTTCCAAGATTCGCACAACTCCATCTGTGGTCTTGCAAGATTCACACAATCATCAACCGTGGTCATCCGAAGCTTACCCATATCAATCATGGTCATCCAAGGGTCACCTACATCAACCATGGTTATTTGAGGCTCACACACATCAATCAGGCTCATTCAAGGCTCACAGACAACCATGGTTGATGTAGGTGACCCTTGGATGACCATGATTGATATGGGTAAGCTTCGGATGACCACGGTTGATGATTGTGTGAATCTTGCAAGACCACAGATGGAGTTGTGCGAATCTTGGAAGACCATGAGTGATGCCTCAGTGAATCTTGGGTGACCACGGAGGAAGTCCGGGTGAGTCTTGAAGACCATACAAGATTCTTGTGTGAACTTCGGAAGATCCTGGATGAAACGTGTGTGAATCTTTGCAGCCATGGTCTTCTGATACTCACAGAGGCGTTGTCCATGGCCTGTTGTGTGTGTGTGTGTGTGTGCGCGTGTATATCTCCTCCATCCATGGTGTCGTCGTCTTCTTCCTTCCTCCTTCCCATCTCCTCTTCATTTTTCTCCATCCCATTAATCCAGAGGTTTCCAAACTTGGCCACTTTAAGACTTGTGGACATCAACTCCCAGAATTCCCCAGCCAGCTTCACTAAGACTTCAACTCTGTATGCCTGCTTTCTCTCTTGTCATCCCTTCCTCTGCAATCTCTCCACTCTAGGGAGTAGGAGGGGAAAAAAACAGGCATAGTTGAATGGGGAATTCTGGGAGTTGAACTCCACCAAGTCTTAAAGTGGCCAATGTTGGGGGACCCCTGTATTCATCCATCCATTCCTCCCTTTGGCTCTCCCCTCCCATGAAGTCCCAGGTGTGGATCGCTGCTTCCTCCTCGTCCCTCCCCCAATCCCTTCCCCTGTCCGCCCCACCCCCTCCCAGCTCCCTCTCTCTGGGCCTTTGGATTCTCCCAGACACAATTTGGTACTAATTACACGTTTCCTACTCCTAATTGCCACATTGTGAACAATCAACAAAATAACTCCAATTTTATTTAATTAAAGACGGGGAGAATTTGGTACGGTGACGCCAAGGAGGTGGGAAACAGAAGGCCACAGCCCTCTGCGGAGGAGGAGGAGGAGGAGGAAGGCCCGACGTGGGGCCTGGGGTACCCAAACAGAGTGTCTGGTCTGCAGGCCGTCCTTGACTTAATGTCCATTTGTTTACATTCGCTCAGTCTCACTCTATGGAGACAGAGCCTCCTCCGTAGACGTTCCTTTAGCAAGTGGTCAAAGTTACAGCGGGTTCAGAGGGGGGGTAAAACCCTGTTTATGACCAGTCCTCAGACTTACGGCCGTTGTAAGTATGAACATTTAGAGCGGCGTGTAGTCCAGAACGGGTGCAGCGTCCCATGATTCCCCCCCCCCACGCCTGCTTCCAACACGCAAAGTCAACAGGGGAAGCCGGAGTCACTTAACAACAGTGTGGCTCACTTAACGACCAGAACCATTTGTTTAATGGCCCAGAAAAAGAAAAAAAGGTCGTCAAATGGGACCAAATGCCCTGAACAAAATTCCCTTGCTTGGCAACGATGAGCTGAGGCCCCAGTGCGGTCATAAGTCGAGGACACCCTTGTACGGCAGGAGTCCTTGAATGGCCACGGCGATCCGCTTAACAACGGTTAGAGGTGATCCTGGAGCTTGGGACATCTCTTCAGGAGAGTCTCCTCCTGGTGTCCTCAGGGCAGAAGAAGCAGCCACTTGGACATCTCGAGATCTCCACATCTCCTGGGATGTCCCCATGCAGTGACAACTGAGGTGGAGGGCGCCCTTTCCCCGAAACAGGTCGAGTTATGGGTTCTCCTTGGATTGGAGACACCTTAGCTCTCCTTTCATCCTTCTTTCTTCTTGAGGGACCTTGGAATCCTGTAGGTCAGGGGTCCCCAAGCACTGGGCCCCGGACCGGTACCGGTCCGTGGATCATTTTCTACTGGGCCACCGGTTTGCTGGGCGCCACCATCTTGTTTCGACAGACATGATATTCTTCGGAATTCTGATTTTTTGGGGGAATCAGTCCCGCCCCACCCTTTCCCCCTCTTTCTTCTCCTCCTTCCGCTCCCCTCGGAGGCCCCCTGAGTCAGGAGTTGCTACTGCCCAGCGCGGCTCCACGCGGCTCCAGTCCCGCGTTGCCTCAGGAAGGGAAAGGCAAAAAGGAAGAGCCGCGGCTGCGCTTTGCAAAGAGGACTGGCGAAGGCGAAGTGGTTTTGCAAACGATTCCTGGCCGCCCAGATGTAAATAAACGGTTTTTGTCCCAGAAGCCCATTCTCACAAGTTTAAAAGGCTCATGTAATAATATGCCTTTCTCTCTCTCCCCCCAGCCCCCCAACGGGGCGCGCTTCAACGACTCCTCAGGCTGCTCTCGCTCTTTCAAAAGTGTGAGGCGGGAGTCAGTTGCAGGAAAAACCGAGCCAAGGAGCGGGGCCCCATTTGCAACCGCAAGGCTAGTGGCGGGCGGAGTGGGGGGTGGAGGGGAAGAAGACTATTATTCCTGTTATTCTCGCGTTGTGGGGATAGTGAGTGGGTGTTTGAGTGGGTGTTCTGTGTGTGGGTGGGCGTGCACGCACGCTGATGCCGGGCAAGAGCTGCCTTTGGGGTTATAGAGCTTCCGCCTCTCGCTGAACTACTCGCGCCAGACGCAAAAAAGTTCTCTGTGGGGAGGAAAGTGGACCCACGTCATGCCCCTGGTCTCTTCTCTCCCCCCCCCCCCCCAGCTGTCAGGTGCCTGCGCGATCAGCCCGGAGGAGCCCTGCCGCCTTTAGCCTGCAGCTCAGAGGATCTCATGCAGGGGGGGCGAGGAAGAGCCCAAAAGCACCAGTTGAGGCTTCCGTGCAGGGAGGGGGCGCTGGGGAAGACCTGGAGGGGAGGTGGGGGGGAGAGGAAATGCCTTGTCATGTGTGCTGATGCCGGTACCGGGCCGCGGATCATTTTGTGATCCCGCTACCGGACCGTGGCACAAAAAAGGTTGGGGGCCACTGCTGTAGGTGGTCCTTGGGATGCTTTTGGTTAAGGTGGACTCCACGGTGGTGGTCTTTTACTTCACCCTACGGCCTGGTGGGGATGTACTCTTGGGTTCCTCATGAAGACATGGGCCTTCCCTCTTCTTCCTGGGAAATAGAACCCGGTGAGATGCTCGCCTACTGTTGCTTCAGAGTCTTCTTGGAAGTCCACCACCAGAACTTGGCCTGAACATTAAACCCTCCTCCTACACTTCTGCTCCCCCCAGACTGTTTTCCAAAATGAGTTTTGGGGTTGGGAGACTTGGGGTGGGTGGGAAGGTGAGTCCCAACTGATCTCCTGGAGACCTCTTCAGCAGAGATGGAGGTTATTTTTTGTTCTTGTTTTGGACCATTGGGTCCACCTTGCTCCTACCTGTTGCCTTTTTCTCTTCTTACTTCTGGTTGACCCACAACTTCCCTTGTCTCTCTTCTTCTTCCTCCCTGAACCTCTAGGTGCCTCTCTCGGACTGGCTGGCTGGCCGTTGAGGTGCTCCACACCCACCATGGAATGCAACAGATGTCCTATCTTGGCCAGAACATTTTGGGGGTTCTCCTGCTAGGACGGCCTGATTTCCTCAACTTCTGGGCTCGGCCTGCAACTTCTCTGGCCTACTTCCTCCTCTTCCTCCTCTGCTGGTGCTTCTCTTTGGGTTGGCAGTACCTGACTCTTTCTCTCCTCCCCCTCCCCCCCTTGTGAAGGACCTCCAGCCTGGCACCTTCTCTGGCCACCATGTTCCTCTCACCTCTGCGCTTCGTCTGCCGGTTGCTGAACATCCGGCCGGGTTCTGCCCTCCTCTTTTGGTTGCTGGGCCTGGCCTTGCGCCCGTTGCCCCTCTCGGGCCAGAAGCCTGAAGACAAGTACCCCATGGTACCCACCAATTACGGCAAGCTGCGTGGCATCAAGAAAGGCCTGAACAACGAGATCCTCGGCCCCGTGGTACAGTACCTTGGCATCCCCTACGCCACGCCGCCCGTCGGTGAGCGCCGCTTCCAGCCGCCTGAGGCACCAGCTTCCTGGTCCGAGGTGCGCAATGCCACGACGTTCGCCCCGGTGTGCCCGCAGAACATCCATGGTATGCTACCCGCCATCATGCTGCCGGTTTGGTTCACCGACAACCTGGAGATCGTGGCCGGCTACGTCCAGAACCAGAGTGAAGACTGCCTGTACCTGAACGTCTACGTCCCCATGGAGGATGGTAAGCAGCGGGCAAGCGGGTGGGCACGGTAGTGTTGTTGGTGGGTATTTAGCACCCTTCTCGCGTCCCGCTGGACATCCAGAGGGGTCTTCCCTACCGAAGGCACACACCCCCTCTTCTTTTCTCTCGATTTCTGTCCCTGTTTGAATTTGTCCCACATCTGCAACCTGACCCAGCGTGCCAACTGCGCCCCTTCTTCGCCCAAGGTGTGCCCACCTCAATTTTTCTTGGGAGGGAGGAAAAGGGGGCACAAACAGTTTTCTTCCAGCGGGCCAACGAAGCCCCCTGCAATGACCCAAAGGGGCATTGCCCAAAGGCAACCCAATCAGATAATCCCTTTATTAGCTCCAACTTTGCCCCCCCCCCCCCCCCCCTGTCCTGGTTACCTGATTACCTTCTGAGCCAGAGAAAAACTCTCCCAGCAGAGATTCAAGTCCAAAACATGGTCAACAAAAACAGTAACTTAAAGTCCAATCAAGATGACCTACAAGGTCCCTTCCTATTCAGATGATCAGGAGAAGGAATTCCAGAAGTAATTCAACCCGCAACGCAGAGAAGCAAAGCCAACCCAGGATAAACTACCCGTTTGCTCCCAGTGAACGCCACTCTCAGTTTGCATCTCTTTTCAACTCTCTTCCTAATGAAGGGAATCAGGGCCCTTTCCTCCCCTGTAAGCCAGGCAAACCACCCCCCTTGCTCCCTTCTCCATTCCTCCCTGCGTTCCTCTCCTAGGATGGAGAGGGGGTTGGTGGGCCTGGGTCTTCCTCTGCACGCCCTCTCCCTTGTTCTACCTCTTCCCTGCTCTGCCCAGCTGGACTTTGCTCTTACCCAGTTTCCTCCACAGCTAACGGAGCCCTGCTCCTGCTCCCTGTCAGCTGTTTCGTCTTCCTCCTTGGATTCGGAAAATGAGGGTCTTTCTCTCTCTCTCTGTAAATGGAAACTACTGGTTGAGAGCTGAAAAACACGGAAATATAGGGCAGGATAGGGCGGGGCCAGATGATTGTCGGTGATACCGGTTCGCAAGAACCAGTCTGAACCGGCAGCATCCCACCAATTGGGTCAGGGGGAGGTGGCAAGGTGGTGCCCCAAAAGGCAGGAGGTCTTGTTCTTTGGGGTATCTGGGGTGGGGCTTGCAAAAGAACAGATCATCCGAGTCGGAAGGGACCTTGTAGGTAATCTAGTCCAAACCCCCGCCCAAGCAGTGAGACCCTACACCATTCCTGACAGATGGTAGTCCAGTCTCTTCTTGAAAGTGGGGGTGGTGGAGACCCCCTCCCTAAAGGAAGGAAGCTCGGGCTTGGCCAGTTTGGGTCGGTTTGGGACCCCTTCCTCTCCTTTTCTTCAGCCCAATCTCTATGGTCCTGGAGGACCCACAACCTTCTGGAGGAGGTTTCCCCAGCACACCCGAAAACCTGTGGGTTTTCCTGGCCATCCTTGACTTAACGACCATCCGAAGTTACAACGGCATTGAAAAAGCCGCGACCAAGGACCATTTTCCCACACTTCACGCCCGTCCAAATTCCGAGGCTTGGCAACTGGCCTGTTGCAGTGTCCCGGGAAAGGGGCTGGGTGAGGCGTGCGTCCCTTCCGACGAGCAAAACCAAGGGGAGAGGATTCGCTTAATGACTGTGGGGTATGGTACTAACTTAACAAACCGCCGGTGCTTCATTTTGCGACGGTGGCCAGGAAAAGGTCATAAAACAGGGCTTGAAACACACATTTCACTTCAGCCCCAGGAACTTTGGGGGCTCCATCGTAACTTGGAGACTATCCCTCACAGGCAGTTGTCGCACTTATGACCGTTCATTTTTAGCCGTCCTTAGAAGTTACCGCGGCGCTGGAAAAAATCCTCGGACTTACAACTGTCCCGGCATCCTTAGGGACACGAGATCAAAATTTGGGTGTAAGTGGAGGACTTATCTCTAAGACTTGCGACCAAATTTCCATCGCTAAGTGAAGGGGTGGTAAAAGGGAGGGGGGCGAGAGGTGCCGGTTGGGAAAGGAATGCCCAAATCTGGCCTTAATCGCCATTTGGTGCCGTCCTAACTTCAAACGGTCGCTGAGCGAATTCGTCGTAAGCCGAGGACCACCTGAAGGCCACTGAATGGCCCATTTGGGCATCCCATAACTCTCCTTCCTTCTCCCTTCCTCTTCCTCCTCCTCTCCCCCTTTTCCTCTTCCTTTCCAAAGCTCCTGATTTTACCCTCCCCCTCCCCTAGTCTTCGACTTGCGACCACAATTGGAACCCAAAGCCAGGCAGTCGCTAAATGAGTTGTGCCCAAACTTTTTTGTTTGTTTTTTTTGCCCTGGTCATTAAACATGTGATGGACTGGCAATTGAAAAATGATGGGAGACGCAGGGAAGACGTCTGAGCAACTGCCAGCCCCGAGAGCCCCCGGGTAGCAGTATTTATTAAGAAAATGCAAATACAAAATCAAAACAATG